TACAGTTTTAGCTTTGCTGCTCTCAACGTGCACGTTGTAAATCTGTTTTAATTCATCGAACGGCGGCGGTGAAATGAGCACAACGTACGGCATGAATTCTCCGTTTCGAATTCGATTTATTACCTAAATATCATCGCACATGCAGTGTTTGACGCACGTAAGTTCTGTCAATAATTAGCGCACTTTTTATATGCTTTATTGATATTATGACAAAGAGGATGATTGGAGGCATCATCTGCAAAATTTGCATTTGAATCACACCATCTACCTATGAACGGGAAACAGCAAAGAGGACTCGTCTCAATCCGCATGAATACAACAAAGAAGTTGGCGAGGAAGGCCAAGACTGAATCGCATCTCAACTTGCCACCCTGAACTATTGTACGTTACAACAATTTGTATATCGAATCTACATTACTTAAAGATCATTATTTTGTATACAGCCACATCTGTTATCTACTCTAATTCTTACGTGGTGTCCTCTGAGGATGAATCCATTTCGATCCAAAACGTCTGGATTTATTTCAACAAAATTCAACCCCATGAAGGGATTTAACTCCTTGATCATTCTGACTATTATTTTTATATGTGCTTCATTATATTTACGTATTTTAATTGAGAAAAAAATTATCGAAAACTGTAAACAGCTGTAAAGCGTCTGGATCTATCAGTTCTCTGTAGCCCTATACCAGAGTGTTTTTAAACTAGTGGTGTCACACCGCTAGCTCACTGATGCTCCATTGTGGAAACTTATGCGAGACCAATAGCGCAACGTCTTAAAGATCAGAATTTTTTGTTTTTACTTTAATTAATTTTATTTCTTTGAACGTGAGTAGACTTTGAAAAAATTTTTCTCCACCACACGTACTGGTTTCATTTCTAAGATCAGTTTAGTATGGTAATTTGTTGCACTGCCCACTCTGAAAGAGGTCCACCTCCAATTGCTAAGGCGAAACGGCAGAAATGGAATTTTTCTGTCACTTTCCCAACAGCCATTTCGGTTAAAATACCTGTTTAACATTCTCCGAGTAGTTAAATAATTCCTAGTATTTTTAAACGAGAAAAGTATCTTCTCCCTCTCACACAGGTGAGAAACTCCTTTTCTGCTATATTCCGTAAGAGTGCCGGAAGCCTATGTGTAAATTCAGCTTTTCACGCCCCGGCATGTTCTAAACGTCGGCATGAATGAAATAATTCTCCTCGACTTTGTACTTTTAACCACTAGATCAGAAGTACGGTTTTGAACGAATCTAGTTTTCGAGCATATTCAAACTAAACCATAAGAAATTATGATTAATGTCATGGAGAATGTGAATAGAAGCAATAGCTGTAACGTGATACCTATTCGACCTGCCAAAAATGCCGCCAGTTACATGATATATTAATCGATCGGTCACCTCGATCAAAATTTGTGATGCGACCTGTGTTAATGATGAATCAGGTTTCAGGCGATCACTCATTCGGCTGAAATTCATTCCTAAATAATTTAGAGCCTGAAACCTAAGTCGTAGCCTTCCACTTTTACTTTCAATTTCCCTATTTTGTTTTGCCTTGCATTTCATATTTTACATTTCTTTCTCATACCAATCTTGCTTCGTTTCCACGTACTGTTTAGTTAAAATGCAGTAGTTTGTCTTGTTACCATTTGATTGTCGTTTCATAATTTTGCACTTGCAGGATGAAACTGATTATAGAATTTATTATATACAAATGTTCTAACTTTCCGATCATGTTCCATCCACCTTCACAGAAAAATACATTACGAAAAATGATGTTACAGTATACATACTGCCAGGTACAAACTTCACTATGGAGGTTTTACCCTTTTTAGTGAAAGTTTCTGTATAGGTTTTTTCTGATAGGAACTTATTTGCATATCAGTTTCGTTTTTCATGCATTGATTTTGTTGAATTACCAAGGATTTCGTATCCTTCACTGTAGAAATTTATCTTTTTTGAATTTGTTTCAATTCGTCCCCATAATATGCTGTGTCGTCTATGTACCTGATGTTCCACAGGCGCCGAGTGCTTTTCACATTGTTTCTTCACCAACTGCAGACCTTTCGTTGATTAGCTTGTAGTTTATTGACAACAGTGTTTTTCTGTTATTCTTATCGTTCCTGTGATTGAAAATTCTGAAGGTTCTCCTGATATTAATAAATTTCAGGAATGTTAAAACTATTTAACCGTTTTTATAGCAAAAATATTTTAGTAGCCCTTTAAAGTTGTTTTGCAGCCATTTGGTAAAAGACCAGAAAATGCTTTTTCGGTGACATATCACTCTCCCATACACTACTGTGATTCTCTATATCCTTTCATGAAGGGGCTTGTAATGCTCTCCTTATTTTAGTCATGATTCCATTGGCCAAAAATGTCATTTTTTTATGAAACACACCTCCTTAACTCCGTCCTCCAAGCTGCCCTCATTATGAGTACGTCATGAACGCAAGTTGAAGCTGTTCTAGTGATCCTCATTCTTCGCTTTCCGGTTCCACCGCTGCCCAAGTAACTTGATCACAGATTGCTCGATCATGCTTTTGGACTATCGAATGGAGCTTTTAATCTAGCTTAACTCAGTTTGTCGTAGAAAGCAGAATCATGTCGGTTGATCCTGTCGGCTGTCGGTCGAACTTGCGCGCTCGGTGCTTGCTCCAGGAGGAACAGCTTGCCCATTTTTCCTCCGTCGTTCTCTGAGTGGCCATCAGTTTGTTCTTATCGGCTTTAGTAGTAGACCAACATTCAGCGCCGGGGCTCATGGCTGGTAAGACGGTTGAATCGAATGGCCCCCTTACCCCCATGTTCGCTCGCATAGCCAACTCGCTGTCGAACAGTGATGTTTTAATAGAATTAAACCTTATCCATGCGGCATTCCTTCGACTGCTAATTTCCTCATCTAGAGAGTTCGTGAGGTTAGCTTTTCCGATTACTTCGCCATTTGCGTAGACAAATCACTCGGACAGTGCTCGTATTGCATTTATTTCGTTTTGGAGAGATTAGCCTCCAATCCGAACGTGAAGGATGCTTTTTGCAACTGTTGGATCTTCTGTTAGAGCTCAGTCGTGCCTTGTGCGAAGACCATGCACTGGTCATCAAATAAGTGCGGCGGCAGCTGCTCACCGCCAATGTTGACCCCGGCCCCAGTTTCCTTGGTTGATGAATAACTCAAAGCTGTGATG